GGGCTGGGTTTGAACCCGCCACCTCCAGCATATGGGGCCAGCGCCCTACCCTTTGAGCCACAGGCACCACCCCACTTTTTTTTTTTTGAGACAGAGTCTCACTTTGTTACCTTTGGTAGTACTGTAGTAGAGTGCTATGGCATCACAGCTCACAGCAACCTCAAACTCTTAGGTACAAGCAATCCCCTTGCCTTAGCCTCCTGGGTAGCTTAGACTACAGGTGTCAACCATAACACCTGGCTATTTTTAGAGATGGGGTCTTGCTCTTTTTTTTTTTTTTTTTTTTTTTGAGACAGAGCCTCAAGCTATCCCCCTGGGTAGAATGCCGTGGCTTCACAGCTCACAGCAACCTCCAGCTCCTGGGCTCAAGCGAGTTTCTTGCCTCAGCCTCCAAGTAGCTGGGACCACAGGCGCCCACCACAACACCAGGCTATTTTTTGGTTGCAACTGTCATCGTTGTTTGGCGTGCCCGGGCTGGATTCGAACTCGCCACCTTAGGTGTATATGGCTGGCACCTTAGCCACTTGAGCCACAGGCGCCGAGCCTGGGGTCTTGCTCTTGCTGAAGGTGGTCTTGAACTCCTGAGCTCAGGCAATGCACCCACTTCAGCCTCCCAGAGTGCTAGAATTACAAGCATGAACTACCGTGCCTGGCCTCTGAGTCTGGCTTCTGAGCCTTCTAGGTCTGTTTAAGCAAGAACTCTGCTAATCAGTGTTAACAAGGCTCCCCTTCCATATCTGCTCACCCCAATATCTGATCAGGGCTTCATCCTCTACTGCCCCCAGGCACTGGCAGGGCCCTAGGCCTGCCTTTATTGGGAACCTACCCGGTGGGTTTACCCAGAACCCCCTGAGGTATGTCTCCTAGAGAGATTTTCCATTACTGACCCCACCTGCTCCTTATTCATGGGATCTCTGCTGAGGTCTCTTCCCCCTATTTAATGATCCTGAATAAAGTCTGTTTTTACCTCTCTGACTACTGCCCAGCTCTGGTTTTCTCTGACACTGATGAGGTATCAACAGGAGTTGGTATTATGGGGTTGGGCCTCCTCACGTAGCAGTGGGGGAGCCTCCCCTCGAGTGTCCCAGGGTCCCCTGTGCTCCAGGGAAGGCTGCAGTGGGATGATGGCCTGTTTCTCCCAGTGTGAGCTTCTACTGGGAACTCTAAGGATAATTCCAGCAGATCTTAACCCAGGTGTCCCCACACTGGGTGCAGCCAGGGTGCATCAGACATTCCACCTTCAAATTCTGATGGGGGTTGGTGCTAAGTAGGAATAAGAAGGGTGGTCATGGCTCGGCGCCTGTGGCTCAAGTGGCTAAAGCACCAGCCACATACACCTAAGGTGGCAGGTTCCAAACAACAATGACGGCTGCAACCAAAAATTAGCTGGGCATTGTGGCAGGTGCCTGTGGTCCCAGCTACTTGGGAGGCTGAGACAGGAGACTCACTTGAGCCCAGGAGTTGGAGGTTGCTGTGAGCTGTGATGCCAC